ATTTTCAAGTTCAAAGCGGATAACCGCTGTTTCATATGACAACAGATTCTCTTGCGCAAACCTTACCAGAAACGAAAGAAACAACGCGAAAATGTTGTTAATACAATAGTCCTAGCAATTTGCATTTTCTCCGAGTTGAGGCTAACCTGCAAGACACTATACGCGTTCTGGCCTTTGAGGCCTCGTTTTAGTGATTCGTCCAGTGCCCTGGTCGGCGACTGTGACATTTCGCGCCAATTTTTGAATAAATGCGTTCAAATTTTCACTGTTTTAGGCATCGTTTTCCGATGTAAACATACTATGACTTCATAAACATACTATGACTTCATGTGCTCGCAAGGTAAGGTGGTTGGTTGCGATTCTTTAATATTTAGTTTTTCTGTCTCTGTTTTGAATTATTAGGCAGCATGGTTGTTGTTGTCATTGATGGCCACTGCATCAGTCAAGATAGATCACACCATTGTACTTGATAAATGGAAACAGTATACATCACAAAAAGGTTGGTAAGGGACTGGGTAGAAAGGACCCTGGGTGGTTGAGATAGGGTGGTATTGGAGGGGGAGGGTGGGGTTTGTTATTAAAAAACATATTATTCGGTCTGCATTTTTTGCGGAGTTTTGGAGGTTATACAGTCATGTGTCCGTCTATGCACCCCCCAGATCTGGACGATGGCAGGGCCTGATCCAGGGGGTACATAGACAAACACAGAATGTAAATATGACCCCCCTGCCCCACTCCATCACCATTTATATATCATTATTTTATTATTGTTTTAGATTGTGATGCCGAAACTCTGTGCTGGGTGTTGTCTGTCATAGGAAGCGTTAGCGACAAGCTTCCTGAAAACATGGTCGTGTCTTTAACTGGTTAGTTTGATTTAAAAATAAATCTCCGAGTCACATAAACCCGTCAATTTTAGTGATCATTGTTGATCTAGAAGAAACCTTGTTGTGGGGGCCAAATTGTGCGACGCAATTTGTGTCATTTGAGGGGCTCTTCCACCAGACACGTGTGGTCTACAACTTGATAACAGAATCCTACAGCATATCATAGCCATGTTGCGGAAATTCGATGTGTAATCTGGGGTTAATGAAGATTTCCAGGGTTTGTGCTTGAAAAGTCTTGGAATTGAACACTTGAAAATCTCCTTGAAGATAGGGGTGAAAAAAAAAGCAACAACAATGCTCCTTGAATCTGTTTCATTTCTTAGTCATAAAAAATCGTCCAAAAACATCAAACGCAGAACTTAAAAATAGTCATCGAAACTGAATTTTTCCGTCTAAATGTACTTTTAAAATCCTGGAATTTTGTGACAAAAGTATAGCACAAACCATGTTTTTTTCACAGAGGAGTTGCAAAGAAAGTTAAGTGGATTCAATGACACACCAGACGTCATAGCTGCTATTATTGGGACTCTTTGTAAGGTATGTAACTCATAGATTAAGAGCTATAGGCGAATAATTTGTTTACATTTCGGTTCATTAGCATATCATTAGCATAAACATATAACGTTTTAACGTAACTATCAGTAAATCAGCACTGAATATTGAAACAACACGGCAAGCTTTCCTCGCAATTTTGAGCTTCCCATATGAAATACTTTTTGCGTCAAACGGTTTTAAAAACTCCAATTTTTAGAGAGATTGTATGAGCTAATTAGCGCTTTTGCCACTCAGCATCTTTGAACGCTAATATCTCATAAACTATTGCATGTAAAGACATCAAACTTTCGTAGTTTATAGTTCTTTATTAGCTCTTTTACATTATGAACTTATTTTACAGTTTTTCAATTTAAACTTTATGCTAATTACCAAA